ATTTTTGTTCATAAATTTTCTTTTCCATTTAGCTAAAGAGGAATTTTCTCCAGAGTACAGAGAGGATAATGTTTATGTCCTAAGACGTATTATTTATTGAATGGCAATTATATATATAATTACCATTATATATATAATTATATATCCTGGAAGTGTTACCTTTACTGTTGGAGAGATGAGGAGATATTGCTTATAGCAATATACTTTTCTTCCATCAGAACCATGCAGGTATGGGTGGTGGTTTGGAGGAGTTACAAAGAGCACTCTTTGTGAGTTCAAAATTCTCAATCTAGAACTTGTATTATACTAATCCTTGGGTTTCAAGTCCTCATCAGTACAACGGAGATGGTAATAATAATATGTATTCATAACAGTATTGTGAGGATTGAATATGAGCATTTCAGTGCATAGAATGTAATAAATGCTCAGTAATGTTAGTTATTATTGTTATTAGCTCCAGGCTCCTCAGCATATCTTAGCACAGATTTGTCTGAGATTCTTTTAGTTCTGGGGACTCTGAGAGAGTCCATTTTGCTAAGTTGAAGAAAGCAAAAAAGGCACGTGCATTTGGAGAATTCGTCAGCATCTGAGCTTGTTTAGCCCTGGCAAGAAATGGCTTCTTGCTTATAAAACAAAGAGAAATGTATTTTTTAAGTGAAGAAACACCTTAAAATACTCAAAAGACTTATTAGACGGAAACAGCCTTTACAGAACAACATTATGGTGATTGAGGGGAAAACATTGTCAAGTGTATGAATTAGATTGCCTTTAATAGAGAAGCAGAGTTGAGCATGGCAGAGACAGCTGGGATGGTGAGGGGAGAGGGGGAGAGCAGGGAGATGCAAAAGGTTTGCCAAGGAGTCACAGAGATTGGATTGTGCAAGTCCAGAAACCACTTGCCAAATGAAAGCTGCAGTTGCTCTCACCCACTGACGCTCTGTGGTAATGAATGCATTTTTGATTAGCTTTGCTGATTACCTGCTCTCTATGCACACAGTAGAAGAGAGAATAGCAGAGTCTAGGGCTCTTGGTTGAGACATTAGAAACAAGGGTTTTGATTATCTTTTTAAAGAATTTTTTTTCTTCTCACCTGCTTCTCAGTGCACATTGAGATAATACTGTTTTGGTTTATGTTTTACTGGAAGTAGTCAAAAGGCTGAAATGCTGGTGTTTTTCCCCTCACAATTCCTTCATGCTGTTGCAGGGTAGTAAAACTAGTACCAGAGGGGCAGGGAGCTACATGGAAGCCCCTATCTTTTTTCCTTATTTCTTATAGCATTTAACTCATCCCCTCAACCACAGGAGACCACTAGCTTTGCATATATTGAAAAAGAAATTATGCTTTTGATTTCCTAGCTCCATTACTAGTATTTACCAAGAGATGAGAATTAGGTGGGGAAATAGGTTTTAAACTCAGAAGAGAACATCTCCAAAGATTTACTGTAATTTGAATGTGAACATGAACTTTGGAAAGGAAAAACACAAGTTATCAATTCTGAAATAATTTCCTCTCTTGTGCTGTAATATGATAACTGAAACCTAGTGCTTATAATCAAATAACTCTTTCTTTCATATCTAACGTAGCCAAAAATTTAAATTTCTTTGTGCATGGGCTATTAATGTGTTTGTTGTTTAATTGCTATCCTGGACTTGTTGCATGGGAACAATTGTTCTTGTAAACTGAGGCTTAGATAAATTACCTATGAATTATCTATGGACATTATCCAGCCTAGGATCAAGGGCCCACTTCCTTCCCTCTCCTTCTTCTTTCTCTGCCTATCTCTTCTTCCTTTTTGTACGTCTCCTACCCTTATCCCTCTTCTCCTTTCCTCATATCTCTTTCTGCTTTTGTTTTTGGACCAAGCCCAGCTTTGTCTGGGTTCATTTCTGACTCTGTACTCAGGGATCATTAGTGCAGGTGCTCAAAGGACCAGATATACAGCAGGAATGGAAACTCGGTGGGCTGCATGCTAAGCAAGAGTCTTCCCCTCTGTACTCTCTCTCCAGCTCATCTTCCTCTTCCTTAACATTGTCTTATCCCTCCTTCTTCCCTTCTATGGTCTAGAACAAAAACTTCTTCTTTTTTTGTTAGAGTGGAGATCTTGTACCTGAGTACATAGCTCAGGCCTCTTGTTTAGATAGAATGAGTGAGTACTTCCTTTGAATGTAATTTGAAGTGCTCTAGTGCTTATATTTCATCATTTTCTTTGAATCCTTATTACTGGTATTATAACATCTGTTGAAATCTTCACCTTCTCCATTGAATAGAAATAGAAGATTTCTATTAAAATGACAATACTGCCTATATTTGATACATCCTTCCAAACAAGTCTAAGTTGTGTTACATCAGCAGCTTGTCAGGACCAGAATCAACAAGTTTGGAAATTCTGATTACTCTAGGCCATGAGGCAGTAAAGTGAAAGAAATTTAACACAACCCTCATCTAGCTACAATTCACTGTCACTTGTATTTCATAATGGCTATTGTATAATTTACTTGGGACAGTTCTGAGACTAGAAGGGGAGCAAGATTAATAATTAAACCAGGACATAAGGCAAACTGTATGATCTCAGAAGTTTGAGCAACCTAGTCAATCATTACTTAACTAATATTAGTTTTCTAGACTAATTTTGCTGATACAAGACCGCTGAAATGTATACTTTTCTAGTTCATTTCTCCCGTTAGTCTTTTTATATGCCTTTCTATTTATACAGCTGTTATTGCCAACTCTTATCATGCTTTTTTTCAACATTCATTTTACAGATGAAGAGACAGATAAGTGATCAATTTTTTTCACCTTAAGTTTCCATTAGAAGTGACCAATTGATATTGTTGGAGTCTTAAAAATTATTATTTTTTTAGTTTAATATTTATTATCTATTTTTTATTAGTGAAGCACCATGAGGTACAGTTGTAGATTTACAAATCTTTGTGCTTGGGTTTCGGTCATACAATGGTCAAATACCCATCCCTCCACCAGTGCCCATTTTCCACCACCATGGATAATATCCCCCCCCACTCCCCCTCCCACCCTGCCTCTGTGGCAGGGCATTCCCCTTTGTTCTCTCTCTCCTTTTGGGTGTTGTGGTCTGCAAAAGAGGCATTGAGTGGCAAACATGTTCAGTCCATAGTCTACTTTCAACATGCATTTCCCCTCCTGGGAGGATCCTCCAAACACCCTTTATTTGGTGCTCCCTTCTCTATCTGAACTGCCCTTTCCCCTAGAATACCCGGCTGGCCTCTAAGCTATGGAGTAATCCTCCTGGTGTTGATCTCAGCTATTCTTAGGTATTAATCTCATATTTTGTTGCTTTATATCCCCCAGATGAATGTAATCTTTCTATGTCTATCCCTCTCTTTCTGACTCATTTCGCTTAGCATGATACTTTCCATATTGTACCACTTGTATGTAAATTTCATGTCTTCATCTTTTCTAAGAGCTACATAGCACTCCATTGTGTAGATGTACCAAAGTTTCTTTAACCAGTCATCTGTTCTTGGGCACTCAGGTTTCTTCCAGTTTCTGGCTATTGTAAAGAGTGCTGCAATGAACAAACAAGTGCAGATGTCACTTCGACTACACATTTTTGCCTCTCTGGGGTATATTCCCTGGAGTGGTATCGCTGGGTCAAATGGGAGCTCAATTTCTAATTTTTTGAGAAACGTCCATACTGTTTTCCAAAATGCTTTTTATTGATAATTACAGGGTTTTATGCATAAAACATTCCAATAGCATCTCCTCTACCAGTGTCCCAGTGTACCTTTTCCTGTCCCACCATCTCACAATATACTAAAGACAAGTTCTCAGTCTCTGTTGCCTTTGATGATTTGTTTTTTTTAATTTATATATTACATATGAAGGAGATTATTCCATATATGTCCCTCTATGTCTGACTAATTTTACTCATCGTGAAACTCTCCAGGTCCATTCATATGGCACCAAATTCCATGATTCTTTCTTATAGCTAAGTAGTATGTGTACCACAATTTTGTTATGTGGTGATATGTTCTTGGATACTCGGGTTCTTTCCAAATTTGGGCAATTGTGAATATGAATAATGCTGTAATGTACATAGGAGTGCAAATTCTGTTTGAGTCATGGCTATTTTTCCCTTTTGTTACTACCCTTTCCTTTACCTTCTCTCTTTTACTCTCTCCCCCCTCGGTATATGTGACTTTTCTTTCTTTCCTCAAAAGTTTTAAACTTTAATTGCTGTCTGTGATGTTCACTCCCTCCAACTTCATCCTCTCAGAAAAGTGAATGCTAAAAATGAACGTATTAGCCTCCCTAGGTTGAGAATTCACATTCAATAGGGAGATTCAGGAGACTTAACTCTGTTAACTCAATGAAGCTGTGACAATGGTGGGAATTCATCAATCATGGTAAACAAGGTACTTTTTTCCTTATTAGAAGAAATCATCTCTTACTATTGCATGACACATGTCTATCTTGGTTAGGGTTTCCAAAGTTGGATAAGCTTTTATAATTTTAGAAACTATTCTTTCCATCACCCAGAAAATATGCTGTATGTGGTTGTCTTACATTCATTTAAATCTCCTACAATTCTTTAAAAACACTTTTTATGGTAGTCAATGTTGATGAAAGAATAAACTAGCAAAATAACCCAGTATATGCCTGATCAACTCTAAATAGGAATATGAACTCTACTTTTGTGTGGTGAAAGTTTGGAAACAATGGTCCTTTGTTATTTTATCTTTATGGGATGATGAGCCATAGGTTGTCTAGAATATTGATTAGTTTTAGAGTTTAAGGGTCTCATACCTTGTAACTAAAGTTTAAAACATCAAGAATAAGGATTCATTGGGAAATAATTTTCAAAGGACAAGAATAATTTCTCAATACACTAGTTGCTTCTCCCTGTGAATGTGACATTGAACCATTCATTTAACAAATATTGAAGATGTTTTATTTATACATGTATGTATTTGTGATTGATTTGAAATATCACGGGTTTAGCATTATGATTTTATGTGTTTAAGTGTGTCAATGCACATATACTAAAATTGGAACGATACAGAGAAGATTAGCATGGCCGCTGTGCAAGGATGATATGCAAATTTGTGAAGCATTCCATATTTTTGACCAGTAGGCAAAGAAGCTGTACAAGACCAATATTAAAAGAGTAACTCCTCCGAAGCTTCACTAGATGCCCTTCATAAGTCACAGTAAAATGCCTGAGAGGACGTTCAGATTCTAGAAAGGGAGAAGGGTGACCACCATCTACCGACCTTATCCAGAATCCTTAACCACGATAAGAGGGAACAGTACTAGTGAATTTCAGATTTATACCACTAGATAACCAAAACTACATGAAGAAACAGCGAAAATCTCCACTACAAGGAGAAGACGAAGAAAAGATTCTCAAATCCTCAACCGGGGTTATGTACAAATATGCTCCCTCCGATAAGAATTCCGAGCCAAAATGCAGAGGATGTTCAAGGATCTACTCAAATAATCAATGGAGGAGATATCCAGAAAACTAAAAGAAAAAATGAAAGAAAGAATAGAAAGGATCATTGAGAAAATACAGGAAGAAATGAGAGCAGAAATAAAAAACTATAAAAAAAAGTGTCACAAATAAAGGATTCGATAGATGAAATTAAAAACTCAGTAAGTGCCCTTAGCAGTAGGACAAATACAGCTGAAGACAGTTTCAGTGAGCTTGAAGATAAGCAATAGAAATCCCATAGGGAACAACAAGCAATGGGAAAAGACCTCAATATGGCTCTAAGGAGAATCAGAGACCTAGAGGATGACGCCAAGAGGAACAACATTAGAATCAATGAAGAACCAGAAGGACAGGGAGGCAACCCTAATGAAAACGCCACAGTCAAAGAAATTGTTGAAAAGTTCCCAGAGTTAAAGAATGAACACAACCAGATCCAAGGAGCCAGAAGGGTGCCAGCTAAAAGAAACCCTAATAAAAACACTCAAGGGCATATCATACTCAGAATGAAAGATTCTGTGGACAGAGACACAATACTACAAGCACCAAGGTCAAAGAAGGAAATCATATACAAAGGAGTACCCCTTAGATTTACAGCAGACCTATCAGAGGAAACCCTCCAAGCCTGAAGGCAATGGTGGGATATAGTGAAAAAAACTCAATGAAATGAACGCCTCACCAAGAATACTTTATCCAGCTAAACACTCACTCAAACTCGATGGAACTATACACCATTTTTTAGATAAACAATAGCTCAGGAACTTCATAGACTCAAAACCAAATCTAAAAGAAGGATTAAAGGGGCTCCTGTAAGATAAGAAGGAAAAACACTTATAAACACAACCAATTCCTACAGAAAGATGGCACAAAACCCCATGAAAATAATCTCTCTCAATGTCAATGGTCTAAATGAACCAATCAAGAGACACAGAGTGGCAAAATGGATCCAGAAACTGAAACCAACATTCTGCTGTCTACAAGAAACTCATCTGAACCATCAGAGCAAACACAGACTCAAGGTTAAAGGATGGAAAACAATCCTGAAAGCAAACAGCTCCCTCAAAAAAGCTGGGGTGGCCATACTAGTATCCGACAGCATAAATTTCAGGTTGAAAAAGATTAAAAGGGACAGCCAATACCATTTTCTATTTATCAAGGGATATGTACGACAGAAAGAAATCACACTCTTAATCGAATACACACCTAATGAGGGACCAGCTAAGTACCTAAAACAACTGCTAATAGATCTTAAGGAGGACAGACTATTGTGCTAGCAACACAATAGTAGTTGGGGACTTTAACATCGCCTTATCACCTCTGGATAGATCAACAAGAACAAGACTCAACAAGAAAACATTGACTTTGAAGGAAGGACTAGAAGAGAGGGCTAATAGACCTATACAGGGCTTTACACCCCCAAAAGAAAGAATACACATTCTACTCCAGTACACATGAAACATTCTCCAAAATAGACCAAGTGCTAGGACACAAAACATAACTCAATAGAATCAGGAAGATAAAAGTAGTGTCAGCAATCTTTTCAGACCTTGATGTGCTCAAGATAGAAGTGAATCACACAAAGACATCGAAAAACAAATCAAACACCTGGAAATTAAACAACTCATTGTTGAACAATGAGTGGGTAAAGAAGGCAGTCAAAGACAAAATCAAAAGATACCTGAGAACAAACAAGAATGAAGACATGAGCTACCAGAACCTATGGGCAGCAGCTAAAGCTGTGCTAAGAGGAAATTTTACAACATTGCAAGGAAAGAAGAAGGGGCATACATAGATAACCTAACCAAACAGCTCAAGATCTTAGAAAAAGACCAACAAAAGGAATGCATAATTGGCCTAAGGAAGCTGTACCTCATGATGTATCACTAATAAAAATAAAAAAAAATCTTAGAGCAGTAATTAATGACATGGAAACCAAAGAAACAATCCAAAAGGTCAATGAAACCAAGCGCTGGTTCTTTGAGAAAATAAATAAGATTGATAAGCCACTATCAAGACTCACAAAGAAAGAAAGAGAACCGTAATAAACTGAATCAGAAATGAAAAGGGGGACATTACAACGAAATCCAAAAGACCATCAGAGACTACTTTGAGAGTCTGCATGCCGAGAAAAAAGAGAACCTAGAAGTAATGGATAAATTCCTGGACTCGTATAATCTCCCAAGATTGAATCAGGAAGACTTGGGATACCTGAATAGACCTATTCATATCAAGGAAATTGAAGCAGTAATCAAAAGTCTTCCCAAAAAACAAAAGCCCAGGCCCAGATGGGTTCACTAGGGAATTCTTCCAAACATTCAAAGAAGACCTTTTGCCAGTTTTCCTCAAGATTTTCCAGGAAATTGAAAAAAAAGGAACTCTCCGAAACAGCTTGTATGGGGCACATATCTCCCTAATACCTAAACCAAACAAAGACAACACCAACAAAGAAAACTGTAGGCCAATATCCCTAATGAACACAGATGCAAAGATCATCAACACAATATTAGCAAATAGAATCTAACAACTCATCAAAAAGATCATACACCAGTGGGATTCATCCCAGGAATGCAAAGATGGTTTAACATTCGGAAATCAATCAACATAATCCATCATATCAACAAAAGTAAAAATAAAAACTATATGATCATATCAATAGATGCAGAGAAAGCTTTTGACAAGATCCAGCACCCGATTATGATGAAAACTCTCACCAAAATGGGTTTTGAAGGAACTTTCCTCAAGATAGTCAAAGCCACCTACAACAAACCCATGGCAAGCATTATCCTCAATGGGGAAAAACTAAGGGCCTCTCCTCTAAGATCAGGGATAAGGCAAGGATGCCCACTATCACCACTTCTGTTTAACATAGTACTGGAAGTACTTGCAATAGCAATTAGGCAAGAAAAAGACATTAAATGTATCCAGATAGGAAAGGAAGAAATCAAACTCTCACTATTTGCAGATGATATGATACTATATCTCGAGAATCCTAAATCCTTTACCAAGAAACTCCTAGAAACAATAGTCTTGTACAGTAAAGTCTCAGGCTATAAAATCAACACCCACAAATCCATGGCCTTCCAATATGCAAATAATGAGAGAGAGGAAAGAGACATGAAAAAAATAATCCCGTTCACAATTGTGCCCCAGAAAATCAAATACCACGGAATCAGCCTAACTAAAGAGATAAAAGATCTCTACAAAAAAATACAAAACGCTACTTTATTAAATAAAAGAGAACACAAGGGAATGGAAACGTATCCCCTGCTCATGGATAGGAAGAATCAGCATCGTCAAAATGGCAATACCCCCGAAAGCATTATACAGATTCAATGCGATCCCTATGAGGATACCCATGAAATTCTTCAAGGAAATAGATCAAGCACTTCTGAAATTCATATGAAACAACAAATGCCCATGAATAGCTAAAGTAATTCTTGGGAAAAAGACATAGGGAGGCATTACCCTCCCCAACCTCAAACGCTACTACAAAGCGGTAATAATTAAAACAGCATGGTACTGGAACAAAGGCAGGGCCACAGACCAATGGAAAAGGGCGGAATATCCATACACAAAAGACATAGGGAGGCATTACCCTCCCCAACCTCAAATGCTACTACAAAGCGGTAATAATTAAAACAGCATGGTACTGGAACAAAGGCAGGGCCGCAGACCAATGGAACAGGGTGGAATATCCATACACACAACCCTAAATGTATGAACAACCTTTGATAAGGGAGTAAGAAAAAAGCCTCTTTAACAAATGGTGCTGGCATAACTGGACAACCGCATACAAAAAAATATGGGCTTAGACCTCGATCTAATACCATGCACAAAAGTCAGATCAAAATGGATTAAAGATCTCAACATCAGGCCAAGATCCATAAGATACATTGAAGACAATGTCGGCAAAACCCTCCAGGTTATTAAGGCTGGTGGTATCTTCAAAGACTACACTCCACTGACCTACCAAGTGGAAACAGATATAAACAAATGGGACTATGTTAAATTAAGAAGCTTTGGCACATCAAAAGATACAATAACCAGAATACAAAGACAATCTACAGAATGGGAAAGGATATTTACCTAATACCCATTTGATAAAGGGTTGATATCAAGAATATACAAAGCACTGGTTGAACTCTACAAGACAAAAACATCTAACCCCATCAAAAATGGGGCGATGAAATGAAGAGAAACTTTCCCTAAAAGAAATCCGAATGACTAAAAGGCACATGAGATAATACTCTACATCACTAATAATCAGGGAGATGCAGATAAAAACAACAATGAGATATCATCTCACACCAGAGAGACTGGCCCACAACCAAAAGAACAAAAGCTACTGGTGTTGGTGTGGATGTGGCCAGAAAGGGACTCTCCTTCATTGCTGGTGGGAATGCCAACTGGTTCAGCCCTTTTGAAAAACAGTATGGACAATCCTCAAAAATTAGAAATTGAGCTCCCATTTGACCCAGCAATACCACTCCTGGGAATATATCCCAGCGAGGCAAAAAAGTACAGTAGAAATGACATCTGCACTTTTGTTCATTGTTGCACTATTCACAATAGCCAAAATCTGGAAAAACCCGTGTGCCCAAGAACAGATGACTGGTTAAAGAAACTTTGGTACA